CCCGAAGTGCACAAGAGTAGAATTAGTCTTAACTAAAGTTGGGTATATATATATATATACTTTGATTCTGTAATAGGAATATCATAGAATCTACCTCACCCGTTATTCTCATGAGTTAACTAGTTTATAACATCTTAGTGATCTATCCCTTGAGTGTCACTATGCTTAAATTCTATCATTACCTTTACCCATTGCTCTAGCTATAATGGTATGTTGACTAATAGATACTCCTTTGATATACAATAATCTTTACTATGTTGTTTTCTAGTGGTAAAATATAAATAATGATACCTAGAATACTCCCGGTAAAATGCTGCAATGGTATTATGTGCGCTTGCGGAATCCTTCATATTCTATTTGTGTTAATAAATACCAACAATGTACATGGACTATCTTCACGGGATCGGGAGCAGACAAGTTACTGACTTTGATATAGGCTTACATGCTGCATTACAAGGGTATAATGTGCCCCACTAAACCTTTATAGTGTGCCAGATAGCCTTATTTCAGCACATGTGAGGCAACAGTATAATCAGCGGCATCTTTGATAGCATATCTGATCGAATATTCTCCACATCTTTGAGCCAGCTGCAATTGCTTTGCATGTGACTGTGACAGTCTTACCTGCTTCTTGACAAGCAGATAGGGCTATAATTATTGCTCATACTCGCATCCTTGAGTATATTCTTTTTAAGATCCTTGTCTCGAGTACAAGTACTCGATCATAGGCTCGGGGCTGCATCGTACATTCCTCTATGGATGTTTTTTCTTTTGGATCCTCTAACTCTTTGTTCCAAACAATAAGAGGCTCGGGGCTAAGCATATATGCTTCACCTAGCGGTGATGCATATTGTCTTCAAGAGCACCTTATGGCTTCACTCATCATGAAAGCACTCGAGACGATGCTTGTTTCTACTCGGTAAAACCAGGAGGAATAAGAAGGCTTCCAAGTTCAACCATGAGACGCTCAGGGGCTTGACGGAGTAGGGTCCTAGGGGTTCCCCATAAGGCCTACAACTCGAACGGGCCCTGGGCTGGCCCACGATCTGCTGAAGGATACGAGGCAAGGTGGCGTGGTCTTCAGGCTATTCAAGATCAACTTAGCCGGCTTACTAAGAAATCTAGATTTGTAATAGAACTAGGACTCTTCTATTATAATCGACTAGAACTAGTTACGTGCCCTTACCCTCTCCCCTATATAAAGAGAGGTACGGTGCACCCCTTTGTACACACAATCATAGCAATCAATCCAACGCAAAAGACTACACAGCCGACTGGACATAAAGGCTATTACTCGATTACGAGGGTCCAAACCAGTATAAATCATTCGTCGCTTTGCGTTTATCGTCGGCTTCCGCATACGTCGAAGCCCACCAACCATCGTTCCGGGTAAATCCGTGATGAGTTGTTGGTCATCAAACACCGATATTGTCACTCAATTATAAAAATCAAACTAGGTCTTTCTCTAAGGCGCTTGGAGCACAATGACCGTTGTCATTTTCCTTAGGCAATGTAGGATGACATGTATGCTATGTCTATGATTTAGGCCTATGACGCATGGTTTGCACATATTAATTATTCGGAGGTGATTTAGTTCAATCTCTGCAGCCATGTGGTTATTTCAGATGTGAGTTGTCATGCATTAGGCTAGTAGGAGAAGAACTAATTTGGCCGAAGCAACAAATACTATCCGTAATGTACATGTTTCTAACTTGGGGTAACATAAATTACATAGATTTCCATATTCAAGACACAACAGCTATTCAAAGCAATGATCATTTGGACCCCACTGAATATGGAAATCTATGTAGAAGAGAGACATAATTTATGTTTTGTTGTCTCAATGGTTAACATTATATTAAGAAAGAGAAATAAATTAAAAATTGTTCATGATTATAATAAAAGGTATTTATCTTGGATTTTTATGTCATCATACCATAATTTGATAGATTAGAATGTTATAATAAATTTATGGCTTGATAATTTTCGTTAATCTATATATTTAATATAAGGTCTAAAGCTAACATTATATTCTTTAATTGTATATGATTTTTTTATAGACACGTGTTTGATGCACAAGGTTCTAAATCTCTAACTATAGCTACCACTGTCTCTGGTTATAACTGTTAAAGAAGGATTTAACTATTTTTTTATGTACAATTTAGATATTAGTTCTCGTTATAGCCGTCTATTTAGGGGGTGTTTGGGACTGCTCCGCTCTTGTTTTTGCAGCTCCGCTCCAGCTTCACGTTGCCAAACACTCTCAGCTCTAAGAACTGCACTCTAAGAAAAAGATGGGGCTGGAGGCCAACTTCACGTTTTTTCTGGAATACCTCAAGAGGTACTTCAGTTTTTAGAGTTTTGTACCCTCACATGAAGTTGTAAGGTAATTATCCACCTTGCCACTCATTAATCACGTATTACTTTCCCCTAATCGCTTCCCCTATCCCGTATGCCCGTGAAAACACCGCGATTGCGACCCTTCCCCTCGCACCCGCCGTGAAAGGAGACGCTGCTTTTGATGACCCTGATGAGTTGGTGCTGCACGTACGATACGCGCAAGAGCACTAGCTTGTCGGTGAGCTGTCAATGGCAGCTGCCGCTCATCTATCACCGTGCGTATGTCATCGTCCTACGCACACGCGCGCCTGTCGTGGCGGTGGCGGTGTTCAGGTGCTGTGCTCGGACGTGGTCATGGTCTAATACGATGTCTATCATCCTACTTCTCGCCCACTCATTAGGACATGTGTGCGCATACAATCAAACTCCCATGTGCGGGGCCGATCGAGCTGACGCGCACACAGACCTGCTGTTCATGGCCAACACGGCATCATCTTGTGCGCGCCGCCCTGAGGCAACGCCTCTTGACAACGTCCGAGATATAGCAGAGCTGGTGGTTGTGGCCTCGCCGTCGACTTCGTGCCGAGACGGCGGCGGGTCGTCAGCTCACGACAAGCGTTCGTTGGTGTCCAGGCCCCACTACATCGCCATCTACGATGGAGGTGGAGCCCTCGCAGGCCATGCTTCCCGTGCCTTCATGGCCAGGAACAAGATCCTCTGCAGTCGATCTGGCTGACTGCTCTCTACAGTCGAGGGATCTACACCGTCCGTTCCATCCAAAGGGTATCTCACGGTCGTCGTGTGGCAGGCTGTACAACATAGGCCCAAGTAGGCCCGCGCAGTAAGTGACTCAGTCTGTCCAGTCCGCCACCGTCGCCACTTGGTCCTTCCCCTCCATCGCTGTCTCTCCCGCGAGCACATGCATCTCACCGACGAGCAGGGAAGCCATGTCACCGCTGCCACAGCCGCCTGCCTCGCGAACTCGCTCGACCTTGCTGCCACGCTACCGCTGGGCTCCAGTTACGAGACCACGGTGGCCGTGGCTTCCGCGCCCGTCGTCCCGATCCCGTGTAGCCGAGCCCCCGCACGCAGGAGAGGAACAGGAGCGCGTGCGCTTGCTTCTTCCCGCGCGTGCGTCGTCGCTATAGCGCCGCCCTGCACCACTTCCTGCATCGCGTGCCACCATCATCGCCCACAAACCTTGCTCGTGCATGACCACCCGACGCCGCCTATGGAGCTTGCACGTGCTGGACGATGCCATTGCACGCGGAGCTCACAGCTGCCCTGCCCTGGTACCCGCATGCACCCCGTCTCGTGCACGGCCGCTCCGTCGCGTGCAGAGCTCGCGACCACCGTGTCGCGAGTCGTGCGTGGCCGCGCCGTCGCGTCCGGAGCTCGCGGACACCCCTCCCCGGCTCGCTGCGGCCATGGTGCTCGCTCGTGGCTGGTGACGTCTACGCGGACTTCGTCGACTCGGGGACCGCATCTTCGGTTCTTTGCCAAGGCCGCCTTTAGCGGAGCACTCCGTGGACGACTCGGACCTTCAACTCCGCCGCCATCTTTCTTGTGCATAACTAACCTCGAGCCCCTGTCGTACATCCTGCTAGACGAGGACCGTGAGATGGCCTTTCGACGGAATGGACGGCGTAGATCTCTCGACTGTAGAGAGCAGTCAACCAGGTCAACTGCAGGGGATCTCATTCCATGGCCATGCTTGCCATGCTCATCAGATGTGAGGTCATGGGACAATGATGATCTTAGTTTAATTTTCTATCATTTATAGTTTATGGGAAACTTATTTGTATTCGAATTATGGTCTCTATTAATTTTCTATTATTTGTTTTCTATTTTTCTTGGAAAATATCAAGTGTAATTTCAATCGGGAGTATAATGTATTATTTGTATGAAAACAACCCATTTCTAAAGCTAGAGCTAGGCTACGTGCCAAACAGTACCACCTGCTCTACAAACTCTACAGGTGGAGCTGCTACATGGTGGAGTTTAGGAGCGGAGCAGCAAAAACGGGAGCAGAGCTAAAAAAACACCCCTTGCTATCTTTTTCGAGGTAGATGCCTAAATGTCTTAGATGGAGATTTATGTGTATTTTGATTTGTTAAAATAAAGAAACAAGAATATGGTTCCTTTCCCATTATCCGTGGCACACAGGTTCAATTCCACACAAGTGTCATCAGGTTCAATTCTCACACATGTCGATATGATATAATATTTCATCGTATCTAATAAATTCGGCATATAGCCCTTGTTTAGTTGGGTGAATTTGGATTTTAAGCCGACTTGCTTTTATTTATAATATTTTCTATTCTAAGCTCAAAAAATTAATTTTTAGGCATATATTTAATCAGCGTAGGTATAACAACTTTTTAAACTTTAAACCAATAGGCTCGCTCAAGATTCCTGCGAAGACAGAACAGACTCACGAAAACTTTGCGCCCACGATACCAAAACCACACTTTAAAAAAAAACCACACAGGCCCACACGGCCACAAATACTCGCAACCACAATTTAAGCCAAGCCAAACCCTAAGAAACCCCATCTCACCCCCTCCAGTGCCCCCGGCCCCCGCCGCCGCCGCCGCCGCAGCCCAGAGCACCCCCACCCCCTCCCGGTCCCCATATCTTCCGACGCCGCTGCGGCGGCGATGGCCGCGGCTTCCTTCTGCGACGACCTTGAGCCCGCCTCCGCGCGCACCCGCATCCGTGATGTCCTTGCCGCAGGCGCCGCGCGTGCCGGGGACCGCGTCGTGGTCGGGGGGTGGGTCCGGACGGGCCGGGAGCAGGGGAAGGGCTCCTTCGCCTTCCTGGAGCTCAGCGACGGCTCCTGCGCCGCCACGCTTCAGGTCATCGTCGACGCCGCCGTGCACCCGCTCGCGCGCCTCACCGCCACCGGGACCTCCGTGCTCGTCGAGGGCGAGATCAAGGAGCCGCCCGAGGGGACCAAGCAGAACGTCGAGCTCAAGGTCAGCCGCGTGCTTGAGGTCGGCGAGGTCGATGCCGCCGTCTACCCGCTGCCCAAGGGCAAGGTCAAACTCACGCTCGAGAAACTCAGGGACGTCGTTCATCTCCGTTCGCGCACCAACACGGTGCGTCCCTTTCCGTTTTTTCTTCTTCCGTCTTGATCTATTTAGCCTTATTTATATGCACTGTGGCTCGTGGATGCCCAGATCTTGCAATTCTATAATGGCTCAGCAAAATTGGTGCTTGGATTTGTCAGTTCTATGGATCGATTGCCTAGGAAAAATACTCACTCTTGCGGCTTATATATACGCCCCAACTTCTGAGAGTTATATACATTTATATCTGTATATCTATAAAGCCCTTCCTTTCACTTACGAGTATTTACCACAAATGGTTCATCTGCCTCCCTGCAATTTTTTGAATTAGGAACTTTAAATGCATAGACATGTGGAATATTAAACTTTTATCACTCATTTATTCTCTTTATTAAAAAAAGAAGCTCTTGGATGTAAGGATGTACTGGCACCATGGTATTTGTTTCTTCTTGCCATTTCTCAGTAATACTTTGACGTGCTGTGTGAGTTCTGGCATTTGAATCTGTGTTATGTTGTATTCCATTCTTTTCAAATCTTGCAGTTCCTATCCTCATAGGTGTACCAATTTTATTTCTTTTACTCCTAACACAAAAACTATTTTTGCAGATTGGAGCTGTTGCTAGGATTAGGCACCAGTTAGCCTATGCGTCACACACGTTCTTCGATGAGAATGGATTTCTCTATGTACATACACCAATAATAACTATGAGTGACTGTGAAGGTGCTGGTGAGATGTTCCAAGTGACAACTCTGTTTAGTCAGGCTGAAAAAACTGAGAAGTTATTGAGAGAGAACCCTGCACCATCTGATTCTGAAATTGAGGCAGCTAAATTTCTTGTCAAGGAAAGAGGTGATGCGGTCGCACAGCTTAAAGCTGTGAAAGCCAGCAAACAAGAGATATCAGCTGCTGTTGATGAGCTAAATAGGGCAAAGGAAATTGTTTCAAAACTGGATGAGAGGTCCAAGTTAAAGCCTGGGATTCCACGCAGGGATGATGGTTCAATAGCTTTTGAAAATGACTTCTTCAAGCGTCAAGCTTTTTTGACTGTGTCTGGACAGCTTCAGGTTGAGACATATGCATGTTCTCTTAGTAGCGTTTATACCTTTGGACCAACATTCCGGGCAGAGAACTCACATACATCACGGCATTTGGCAGAGTTTTGGATGGTTGAACCGGAAATCGCATTCGCAAACTTGCAGGTAATTAAGCTGAATTACATTTATCTTCAATTGCAGCTGAAATAACTTTCCTCCTTGTGGTACAAAATATACAACTATGAAATTTAGTACAAACAGTTTTTGCAGTGATATTGTGTTTAACTGTTCTGCAGGATGACATGAACTGTGCAGAAAAATATGTACAGTACCTTTGCAAGTGGCTGCTTGACCATTGCTGGGAAGATATGGAGTTTATGGTGAAAAATTATGATAAGAATGCAATTGAACGCCTGGAGCTTGTTTCCTCGACTCCTTTTGTGCGGATTTCGTATACAAAGGCTGTGGAGCTCTTGAAAAATGTTACGGACAAGAAGTTTGATAACAAAGTTGAATGGGGAATTGATTTAGCCTCTGAGCATGAAAGGTATCCACATTGGAATTTGTTTTCCTAATGTGTTCTTTTAACTTGATTGAGCCTTATTTAGAATCTCAATTCTTGTCATGAAATGTTGAAGGTATTTAACAGAGGATATATTTAAGAAGCCAGTGATTGTCTATAACTATCCGAAAGGAATAAAGGCGTTTTATATGAGGCTCAATGATGATGACAAGACGGTGGCTGCAATGGATGTTCTTGTGCCTAAGGTATAGATAAACTTCTCATATATCAAACCTGTTGCTGGTACCAGTGCACATGTGCACTCCATGAGTGGGTAGCGAACGATTTGGGCATTTTTGAGCCACTGGAATATCCATTTATGTAATTGCTGGTTTTACCTTGTTTATATTTATATTCATTTTTGTGCTGGAATGTTTATTTCAAGGTCGGCGAATTGATTGGTGGAAGCCAAAGGGAGGAACGGCTAGATGTTCTGAAACAGAGGTATGTGCTATGCTCAGCTTAAAGGTTAAGGCATTTTTTTATTGGTGTTGTCTTGTTTGACAGTATTCAACTTAAACTTGAGGAAACACATTGTACTGCTACTCATCATACTCTCGAAGTAATCTGCATTTGGATTTTATGCAATGTTTGCTACTGTCTGAGTTAGAGTACCATAGATAGCAAGGGAACACAGGTTAAATGTGATGCCAAGCATTCCAAACTACTGTTGTATATGATATTATTTTATTGCTCACCTGATCAATGCTGTAAAAAAAAGGTGGCACCTAGCTCTGCCTGGGTGCTAGCTGGTGCTGCACCTAGGTGTTTTGTCTAGGCTTTGTTTCAAAGTTGAGGTGTCTTTGGCTTATGTATGCTTGAAAATGAGGCAAATCAGAGATGGAAGATGAAACCATTGTATTACCCGTGGCCTAGGTTCTACGCGGTGCTGCAACTAGGTGTTTTGTCTAGTCTTTGTTTCAATGTTGAGGTGTCTTTGGCTTGATTTATGCTTGAAAATGAGGCAAATCAGAGATGGAAGATGAAACCATTATATTACTCATGTGGTTTACCATTATATTACTCATGGATGGTTGATTGTTTCATTTGTTTTCTGAAATGCTATATTTCCTTTTTTTAGCATGGCATTACTAACAATCAATAGAAAGTACAAACACTGCCATGGCACTGGGTGGAACCTGACAGCCTGCTTAGTGCCTAGCTTATGTTGAAACACCACATTTTCCAGCATATGTATCTTTACCATTCTACTAGTTTTCATCTACCTAGCTAGGGATAATACGACAAATTTATTTGACAGGATACTTGATGCTGGCTTGCCTTTGGAACCCTATGAATGGTACTTGGACCTCCGCCGCTTTGGATCTGTAAAGCACAGTGGCTTTGGGTTGGGTTTTGAAAGGATGATTCTTTTTGCAACCGGAATGGAGAACATCAGAGATGTTATACCCTTCCCAAGGTACCCAGGGAGGGCTGATCTGTGACCTTTGGAGACCTTGGTTAAACAGATGCGAGTTGAATTCAACATGCTACTAGTGACCTTGGTTAAACAGATGCGAGTTGAATTCAACATGCTACTAGTGATTTTGACATGTTTTCACCGTTAAGTTCCTACTTTGCACATTTTAGGTATATTGGAGTACACTGGTAGGGTTGTCAAATGTCATGTAATTCTGTGTGTATTTTATTTGCATCTGCAGGGTGCGATTGATCAACCTTTTGTCTTTTGCTATAGTTGTGTTCAACAGGCAATGTTTTCTAAAAAAAAAAAAAAAACAAGTCAAAAGTTTGACCGTTTAATTAATTGACAGTTGTCACTGTAAGGGATGTGAGTTTGGGTTATTTAGGGTAAAGTTAATATTTTTGTACGGATTATATTATGAAGTACTGTGCTGCCGATTTGAAGCTCAAATAATTGGCAAGTTAGTCTAAAGTCTAAACTCTGGGCATGATTGGAACGAAGGAACAATAAAACGGAGGAAAGGAAAAAAAGTACAGGAAAGGGATGGGAGTAAAACTATAAAATAGAGGAAATGGAAACTGCAGGAACGAATGTTTAGTGGTGTTTTTAAAAACATTTGAAGAGGTGGTGTTCTTTAACATGTAAAGAGGTGTTTGGAACGCATGAATACGAGCACCGGAACTAGGATAGCATGCAAATCCTATATCTCAGTTAGTGCTGATAACATGTAAATTACTACCAACTGATGGTGTTTCTCTTTCCTAATATCTACCTAGATGAATGTTGGAGCTGTTAGATCTTTCCTAATATCTATGGATGGATTCGGATGGCAGAAAATTTGAATTATCTGATATTCGTATTCGATTTTAGCTAAATATGGATATCCATATTCGTATCCGTTTTAATATGGATGCCTAAATGGATGTATTCATATTCGAATTATAAATCCGGATTCGGATTCGCATATCCGAATTCACACCGGGTACGGATGTGGAACCGGATACTATCCGTATCCGCAGTGCTTAGTGAAACGATTTTTTAGCTTCCAACGACGCCTGGCCAGTCACGCCATGGTGCCCAGCCACGCGTGCAAAATCCCTCCGTACGCGCGCAAAATCCAGCCCCCCCCCTCCTCCCGTGCCTTATCCTTCCCCACTCACCTCATTAGTCTTCCATTCGGCCATTCTTGGATTCTCCTCTAAATTTCCCCATAGCTTGTAGCTCCCTCGCACTCGCATCGCATCTCCCCTAACCCTACCTGCGCGGCGGCGGCGGCGCGACGGGGGCCTCCTGACTGAAGCATCCCCCGAAGCTCCGCTCCCACTCCGGCACTCCCAGTCCCAGCCCCTGCAACTGCAATCCCTGGTTGTCGCTGGCCCTGACTTCACCTTCGTCGACCACCACCTGGTAAGCCTCTGTCTTTTTCTGGGAAGCAAGATTTTTTATGACCAAGCAAGTCAAATATTGAGAAAAAATGAGGAGGGAGTCTATGTCTGCATCATAGGTGCACAATCTCTCTGTGATTTGAAGGTGACTTTTCTAATTTTGTGTATTCTTTTGTGAACATATAGTGCTTTGTAATCATTGGCCTGCATGTGAAATTGTTGCATCTACTTCTTCTTAGTGGTTGCTTTTTGTGAAATATTTGACATCAAGTGGTTATGTACTACATTTAAGAAATAGCTCATGATTGCAACAAGATGACTGAATAAGATATGATTGTTGCTGCATATATGCCTCTCCAATATTTAACCTTGTGTTCTACAGGACTAGACAACTAAGTCATTGAGAACCATGGTTTCAAGAAACACAAGGTCATCAAGAAATAATGAGGTATATTCACTGAGATCAGCACCAGCAACCCAATCTATCAAATTTTACAGCCTTATCAATGATATTTTTGTTTCTTGCAGAGATCAGCACCAACTGAGAATGAAAGAGAGCTAAATGACAGCGTCAATGTGAATGCTAGTGAGGCTAATAAAGAAGCAAGTGGTGCAGCTGCTACTCAGACTGAAACTGAGTCCCCAACAGGTTGTAATTCAGCCCTCAAAATCAAGCAAGCGAAGAAGAAAACTTCACCGGTTTGGAAGCATTTCAATGAGATATTTCTTGAAGAAAATGTCTTACCTGGGTTCGAGTCGCGGTTTCCTCGCATTACACAGGCGAGGGTAAGGCTTGCCACTAACACCCTTCCCCAGACCCCACACAGCGCGGGAGCTCTCTGCACTGGGTACGCCCTTATTTGTTGAAGAAAATGTGGATGACATGGTTATCAAGAAGGCAATGGCAGCATGCATGTATTGTGATGATGTTCTCCCAGCCCCAAGCAATCAGGTACGACACGCCTATGGAATCATTACCATTCATTTCATGATGATGCCAAAGAGAAACCTAGCATAACAAAAAAGAGTTTAGATAATTGGAGGTATGATGAGAATAGTAGTATCAGAAAATACTATATTGCAATTATCATGCATGAATATCCAATCAACTTTTGTGAGCATGAGTATACAAATGATTTTATTAGATCTTTGCGCCCAGATTTCCCAATAATGGGCCGCAAGGGTAGTAGGACCAAGATTATGGAAATATTTTATAATGAAAAGAAAAAGCTCTTTGATCATTTTGCCTCTCTTGACTGCCGGTTTAGCTGTACCATGGATATGTGGACTTCAAATCAGAATAAGGAGTACCTATGTGTAACTTGCCATTTCATTGATGATGAATGGAAGATAAAAAAAAGGATTATAAACTTCATGCATCTTAAGGGAAGGCACACATGAACCAATTTGAGTGCTGCATTTTTGCAAAATATGACCTCATGGAACCTTGATCATAAATTATTTGCCTTGACCTTAGATAATGCATCTTCAAATAATGTTTGTGTGGACACAGTCATTTCTACTCTTAACAGTCATGGTTCTGTACACTGTGCTAGCAAGTTCTTTCATGTAAGATGTGCTGCACACATTATTAATCTCATTGCTAGAGATGGTGTGAACACAATTTCAGCTGTTATTGCAAATATTCGTGCATTAGTCCTTATTGTCAAGAGCTCCCCTTTGCAACAAGAGGCATTTTCAAAGCTTGTTGCAGAACTGGCAGTAGCAGAAAGAGGTCTTTCTTTAGATGTGGCCACCAGATGGAATTCAACTTACTTAATGATAGCAGATACTCTTCACTTAAAAAGTGTTTTTCAGAAGCTTGTGCTATATTATCCTGACAAATATAGTTCACATGCTCCTGCAAGAGAGGAATGGGACCATACTACAGCCTCTGCATGCGCTGCTTGGAAATATTTTATGATGCCACTAAACTTCTCTCAGGGTCCCATTATCCAACAACAAACTTGTTCTTTTCTGAATTTTGTGAAATTAACCTCAAGATTATTGAGTGGCTGAAAAACAATGACAAATTTGTTGTTTCTACGGCTAAGTCAATGAAGAAGAATTTTGATAAGTACTGGGATATGAGCAATATTGCTCTTGCTATTGCATGCTTCTTGGATCCAAGGTACAAGATGAAGGTGGTTGAATTTTATTACAGTGAGATGTCAGATGATTACGGATTTGATGATATGTATGAGTTCAAGAAAATTCTGCAAAAGCTTTATGATTCTTATGCCTCCAAGTATGGTTCTAGTGCAGCTAGCTTTGTGCAAGAATCTGAACCTAGAATTGCTAGAACTTCTAGAACTTCTCAGTGCTATGTGGATTTAAATGAGGAGCCAAAGAGAAAAAGATTAAGTTCATTTCTAAGGGACAACACTGAACCTGTCCAAGAGCAGACTGACTTCGAGCAATACATCAAAGATCCATTGCTGACTTGGAAAGAAGGTGACTATTTTGACATTTTGAGCTGGTGGAAGACCCATGGTATAAAATATCCTATCCTTGGTCGACTTGCAAGGGATGTTTTAGCTATTCCTACATCAACAGTAGCATCTGAATCAACATTCAGTGCTGGAGGAAGAGCTGTTGACAAGTATCACCGTCTGGACCCTCAAGTTGTTGAGGCCCTTATTTGCTCCAAGGATTGGATAAGAGCATCAAGGGAAGGTAATTGTTGCTACTTACTTCTCAGGACTGTAAATTTTATATGTCCAGTTGATAAATTATTTATTGCTGATTTCTCCCATGTAATTTTGCTTATTTATTTCAGAACAAAGTGGTGTAGCTTCAATTCTTGATGATTTGGCTGGTCTTGCTACAAATGACAAAGCTGAATAAGATGAAGGCATTCGAGCTATTAGACCTCATATTGTTAATTTTAGAAACTCAAATTTATTTGTTTGTTCATATAATCATTTGTGTTATAGGTGATCATGTTGATGGTGATGTTGCTCACATCATTGTGGATCAGAAAGAAATTTAGGATTGCTCTTTCTCACAACATTATTGTTTGACTTTAGTTCATTTTGATTTGGTGTTGTATGAACTATTATCCCTTTTGATTTTAAATCACTTCGATCTAGGAGTTTACTGTTAATGTACTTTAGTTTAATTCGCTTTACATATCTATCGATATTTTATCCATCAAGGTTGAATTTTAGGATATTTACTTCAAGTTAATTTGCGCAAATATCCGAATGTGAATCCGTATTCGAGACATTCGTTTTGCATTCGTATCCGATAGCATCCGCATTCATATTCGTATTCAAAATAAAATGTGGTAAATAGTGCTATCCGTATTCTATTCCTTGTGGATCCGATCCGAATCCATCCTTACTAATATCTACCTAGACTATCTACCTAGACGGAATGTCGAGTCGAGCGTTAGAGATCCGTATTCTGCGGAAGGCGTTCGCGTAGGCGTTTCCACCACGATCTAGATCTCAGCTACAACCATCGCTGTCACAGGACCATCGACGACTAGTAACCTGTAAATTCCTAGTTTCTAGATCGTCTTTGAACTAGTCGCATCTGACTGTGTTCAGCCACGTTTTGGTGTTCTCCATACCACACACACCTGGATGTGAGGGTGAGACACGTTAGGTTCTAGATCGTCTTTGAACTAGTCACATCTGACTGTGTTCAGCCAAGTTTTGGTGTTCTCCTTACCACACACACACCTGGATGTGAGGGTGAGACATGTCTATGCTGATTCCTCCGCCATGGCGTCGATGAGCGGAGATGATAGGCAATCCAGGAAAGGCAACGCGGTCCAGGATGAGGAGGGACCACACGATGGACTTGAACGTCATGGACCTGATGAAGAAGCTGAATCTTTTTTTGAGGGAACGAAGAAGCTGAATCTTATTGCATAGGAGGCGGAGGCTGTGGTGATGAGCAACGAGGTGGAAAATCTCAACTGTAGAGTTCTGGGTGATTGGCAAGGTGCTTTCACCAAATGCGCTGCACATCTCGACGATCATGGCAGCGATGAAGCCGGCTTGGGGAAATCCCCCGCGTCTGTGTTGTAGATCGGTGGGAGAAAAATTACAAAACCTGTTCATTGCAGACTTCGTGTGCGAGTCTGATAAGGCGAGGATCCTGCTTGGTTCCCAATGGACGGTGGGAAGACATGCTGTATTGGTACAGAGTACAATGCGTCCTTGTGGCCATCTGATGTTCGATTCGATAAGATGACTATTTGGGTAAGATTTGTAAACCTTCCTTTTGGGTGGATGAACGGAAAAAGGAGGCATGGAACTGGGTAACATAATCGGCTTAGCTGATCGTGTGGAAGTTAATGCAAATAAGAAAGCCAGTGGTCCTTATCTATAGTGGCGGATCTAAGTTTTACTCAAAACTAGGGCCTCAAATAAGAAGCTAAGAATGTTGTACGATAGAACTGATAAGATGAAAATAAATACCTAGGCCCTGTTTGGGAGCATTGCACATTTTCACACCTGTAATTGCATTCCAGATTTATTTTCTTGTGCACAAGACATCGTGTTTGTTCGTTCATAATAAATAGCTTGGTCAATTCAGCTAGAAATCGCATCGTGTTTATTCATTAGTAATAAATAGCTTAGCTAGAAGCCTAGAACTAGAAGGTATCCATCAAATTGAAGAGTTAAATGACAAGCTGTCCAAAGGTTGGTATGACCTCTGCTAAGAAGTTGTGCAGGCACGAAATACATCTTGAATACTACCGTTTGCTCCAGCTCATGCAGCAGCCGCTCCAATTCATCCCTCCCCATGAATGGATCCAAGAATTGGTCCAAAATACAAGTGCATCTCTCGCACTCTTATACATTCTACCAATTGATTCGCCAGCCATACGAAGGCATCTCAAGCACTGCCCTTTTCCACCGCAATAAGGGGATTAGAAGTGAAACGAACCTGAAAACGAGAAATCAGCGCAGTCGGCCGCCAAGGCGCCAACTACCCCTGGCCGCCTAGCCTTCTCCGTCCGTAGCAAGGGGCAGTGGCGGACCTGGGCACTGTGTGCTGGCTGCCTGGGGCCTTGGCAGTGGCCAATGGTGGCCGACGACTGACTTGCGCTGGCCGCATGGTAGCCGCGGCGGCATTGGGCGGTGGCCGCATGACAGCTTGAGGCCTCGGTGGTGGCGGTGTGACCTGGCTAGCTAGTCGCCTAGGGCGCTGGCGCTTCTTGCTCGATCGGGCGAGCGGGAGACAAACCGCGCGGAGCTGCGGACGGTGGCAGGGGCTCGGCCTCGGTCACTCGCGAGTCAAAGGACTGGCCTAATCTTTGTAATGGGCTTCATTTGTGGTCTTATTGGCCTAAAAACTATAAGGACGGTAGAGTGTTAGTTCTGTTGGCGGTCCATAATTCCTATTTTCAACTGCCAAATATCACATAAAATGAACTCATACAAACATCAAACTTAGAATTAGGGCTTATAACTAAGAATCCCATAAGTTTTGGTGGTTGTTCATTTACAGGAGGACATATCGGAATAACAAGGAAAACACATCCAAATACGCAATAGGACAAAGCGTAACATCACCCGACATAAGCCCAAGGGAAGAAGGCTAACCTACCAGGACAATCAGGGCCTAGTTAGATGGAGAAAAAAAGCCCAAAACCCAAAACAAACCATCTCCAAATGGCGTTAAACCTTGCAGGACCCATCCAGAGGCCCAAAGAAGACTACCCACTGAAGCTGGGCTCATTTGGGCCCAGTCGGGGTGCCACCGCACCCCTAGTGCACCCGTACCACCACTAGGTCCTCAAAGGCCCATCTTTCGCCGGTTTCCTCTCACCGCCTTACCTACGTCAGTTCCGGTGGTTTGGGCTAGGTTCAACGTATCTATATGGCGGTTTTGAGGTCGGTTTGCACATTTATGAGAGGGAATATGCCATGGGATCATTCCCTCCTCTCCACCTATAAAAGGAGGCCACTCCCCCCTCATTCAACAACACACAAGAAGAGCAAGAGCAAGAGCTTCAATCCAAGGGCTTAGGCCCTAGCTAGCTAGAGAAATATAGTAGGGAGAGATGTGAGGGAGAGTTCGGGGAAGTGCCGGACTTGTTGGTATTCTCCCCTAGCTTGTACCTCGATGAACACCGGCTTTGTACCTCAACGAATATCTTTGTAAGTGTTCGTGATTCTTATGGCTCTATGTCTTTTGATTAGTTAAGCTTTACTCTTATTTGCTTGTGGGTTTGTCGTCCGTTCTCGTAATGGTTACTCTAGTAGAGGGCCCTGATAAAGACAGATAACCCTGATCGACGCTAGAGTAGTAGTTGATAGCGTAGGTGTGGTGTCTAGGCTAGAGGCTACCTTTGTTTGCCTCATGCCCCACGGTTCAGGGGTAGGCGGCAGGTGGTGATAGCCCTGTCCATCCTTCATAATCCCCCACGTTCGGGTTCGGCGTAGAGCTAATGGCCAGTTTTGCCTGGTAGAACAGGTGCGCTCTGGTGCTCGAAGTAAGCTAGTTGAAGTAGAGTTTATCTATCCTTAGACCATCAAGACATATGAATCCATCTCTACCCTTATCAGCTATCCTTATATTGTCCTTGGACGAATTGGCTAGAGGAAATACCTTCGTTCCCTGTGGAAAATACGATACCCTGAATACTTTTGGGTGAAAGCTATAACGGTAATCCCTTGCGCTTGCGGATTAATTCTGTAAACGTTAGAAATACTAACAAGCTCTCTGGTGTCGTTGCCGGAGAACAGTTGCTATATTGTCTTCGAACCTAGTTTGTTCTCGTATCTTATATCTTTTCTTTTTAAAAAAAGATACAAAATATTTTCACCATGAAGCCAACTTCAACTTCTTACCTTTCCGCTTCAAAGGGGGAGTTCCTTGAGCCTTTACCTATTTCAAAAATAAACCTTTCATCTGGCTGTGAACTCCACCCTAGTTTAAAAGCCATGATTCGGGCACAACCCTTCTCAGGGCATGACAATGAAACCCCTTGCCATCACCTGCAAGAGTTTGAGGAGATGTGTTTGTGCTTGAGCGTCTCAGGCATGACACAGGAAACACTAAGGTGGAAATTGTTCCCCTTCTCTCTCACGGGGAAGATGAAGCAATGGTACACACTTGCCGTAGGAAGTATGAATGGGGATTGAGATGAACTTAAAGACAAGTTTTGTCTTGAATTCTTCCCTATATCTCGTATCGTTTCTCTACCAAAGGCAATCCACAACTCTGAGCAGAACGAGGAGTCAATAGGTGCAGCCTGGGCTAGGTTCTCAGTTTTAATATACTCTGGCTTAGACTTGTCTTTACCCGATGGCGTGTTGCTGTGTCTCTTTTGTTCGAGTCTTGACATAGATGCTGACCTATGTCTAGATTTGACTGCCGGAGGTCATTTCACACACAAATCTATGATAGAACAAGTGAAATTTCTTGAAAACCTCCTAGAAAGACACACTTCCTCCATCATGAAAACTAGAACCCTCCAGGAAAAAGTCATGTTGAGTGTTGAGGAGTCTTCATCAGTGACTCATGAATCCAAACCCATAGCATCCTTAGATTCGACTCATGAATCGTCACTCGAACCATGAACACCGAAGGAAAGAGTAATTCGTCCTTTAAAGTTCCCTATCGAATTCGAGGATTATGACAATACCTTGAATTACTTTGGGCACGGAAAGTTTACACGTCCTTCTGTGGAAGTTTCCCCTAAAGCAAAACCATCAAAGGAATGGTTGACGGAAGTGAAACGCTCTTCTGAAGCAATTTGGATTCTTTCACCCTCCACGACCATGCCTTGTACATTAAGGGGAACAAACATAGAAGCCCTGCACAACCCCACAGTCGGGACTAGTATCATGTCAGAATTCCTTGCAAAAAATCTTTTGGGC